TCGGGTCCGCCAACGAGTGCGCCCGTCAGGGTCTGCGGGTTTGGGCCCGGATTGTTGAACGCATAGTTATCGCACACCACCGGAGGGTTAGGACACGAGCTGAACATTGTTTCCATGTAATCAATTTATTAATTAAAATTTTTCACACATGGTATTATACTTTGGGTACACTTACGATGCCCGGTGGTGTTCATGGGAGGGCGGGTTTACCCCAACCCCCACCACAAAACTCCTGCCCGTATCGCCTAATATGTATCCGATCTGCGATTCGGCAAATTTCCGGTACACCTTTTCGTTGATACCGAGTTTCGCCGCCTATTGTTGTGTATTTATAACATATTATTATAGTTGTCATTAAATAGATTAATAATAATTATTTATAATACTTTTAATTAGAAAAATACCTGAAGACAAATGAAGGCAACGTTGGATACACTTCTTAGTGAACCCCATTCGCCCATAAATGCCAAACCTATTGTAAAATAATTAATATAAATCAATTAACAACAATAACAAAAATAAAACTAATTTCAAAAATACCCTTGGGCGTTCGCGGGGCTTTATGTACGGCCCAATCGCAATACTGTTGTACATAAGTTTTATACTTTTGGTCGCCAACCAATTGGGCGAGCAGTACGTGAGCGCCGGCCGACTTGTCGTCCCACCCGAACCCTCCCGGTCTGTCCAGTTGTCCGCTAAACTCTTTGAAATGCTTATTCACTTCACTTTTATAATGGCTATCATTGGTAGCCCTGAGCATCCAGGCCGCAGCCCAGGCCAACTCATCCCCATAGCCCGATATGCTATTGTAAAAACTCTTGGCATCACTAATCTCTGTGGTATAGTTAGCCCGATGTTTGTCCGCAAATGTATACAAAGACTTGGCGTGTGTTAAGAGTTTTGCTGAATATTTAGGATAAGATGTCTTGAAGGCCAGCGATGCCGCGGCCAAAGCTGCCGACGTCTCGCCCAACAAATCACTGCCTAATTATTATAATTTTAATAACAATACAACCGTAAAGTGTGTTTAAGTGATACCTCCGTGAGCTGTCGTCACTTTATACGCGGGCCTCACTTTACTCTTAGGCCAGTCCTCGGGTCGGCCCCACACCGCGTGGTCCTCATTGCCATTACCCACCTGTCCGTAAAACTCGGTGTCATTTGTGTGGCACTAAATGTGTATTTGACATAATTAATAATTAATCAATGAAAAATAATTTAATTATAGTTATAAATTTAGTAACAACTTTCAAAATAAAGTGGCTTTAGTTACTATTGTAACTAGTAGATTACTGCCTGTATTCATAGAGAATTGGTTGTCATGAAAAAAGTGCAGTATGTGTGATATACATAACAACACTATATAAATCTCATCTACCTTAATGAGATCTGGCACTCATCATAAATTGTAGATTATTAATAAAATAAATACTGTTGTATTTAAAAAACTACATACTTTAATGAAGTAATCAGTGCCCCATTTGATAGCATTGCGTACATTTGTCAATTCGCCGGCCTTTATGTACGAGTCCTCGTAGTCGATGAGACTCCACGACAGGACAGTCATCGTGTAAGCCATCGGGAAACCAAACTTCACTAAATCACCGGCTTTACAACAATTCAATTAAAAACATTAATGTAAAAATACAGTAAACACTTCAATACTAGAGAGCATACCATCGAAGTAACCGCCGGTAAGGTCTTTGCCAACATCTCTGCCGTCGTCGAGCATAGAGTCTCCCCTCCAGTGAATCCTCTTATCTGTGGGTAATTTCCCGGATCTCTGGGCCTCATAGAAGAGTAGAGAGGCGTGAATCACAGCCCCGTAGTTGTAATGACCTGTAGGCCCGACGGGTGCCACAGTTATTGGCCATACGGTGGCCACTGGTCCTGTAGTTATGAATATAGTTGTAATTAAGATTATTATAATAATAAATCCTAGTTTAGCATTTCGCTGTAAAGTTACCAATGTCAATTTGTTTTCCATTAAACTTTGCACTAGTATACGAAAAATACAGATAGTTAATAATATTTACTTAATTAATAACATATAATAATATACCTGATAAGATTAGCACCGGCATTATGATCATAATGAGCTTGATATTGGACAGTATGCTGAGCACCTGGCTCAATTGGATCGCCCGTTATGATAAATGTTAGCTCATCAAAACTGGCAGTCTTTACTTTACCGCCATATGTGCCCTACAATAATTGTAAGACAAACACATTTAACAAACAGTATAAACAATTTTAAAACTTACATTAATGATAACTTTGGCGTCATATTTGAGTTCAATAGTCCAGTTCCCGGTCTCACCTGATATAGTAATCTCCGATTGTGTGGCACCGGACCACTGTGCTTTTACTTTATATGTAACAATACAGGTGCTGTTATTTACCCATAGGCCCAACAGTAAGATAACTGTATAAATTGCAACCATGTCAATTATATTTACAGTATATAAACTTTATAACAATAGTATATTTTTGCAATATTAATTCTCTGTTATTATTGTATTAATTAAGGTGAATTTGGAAATTTTATTTCTATTATTTTATTATATACCACCTTGATAAATTAATATATTTTGAAATGAAAGTACTAAACGTATTGTCATTTGAGTTGATATCCTATTGAATCAATACTGAAGTGTTTACTCTGTAATTATCACTAAAATAATTGTTCTCTTTGTCATTCATTTCTACTCTTTATATGATTACAAATTGATTTATAATTAATTTATATTTAAGTGATTTATTAAAATTATTTTATAGAATTAATTAATGATTCCGAAAATTAAACCCGGTTTGAGTTAAAACTACCTTAGATTTGCATAAATTCAAATTACAGTAAAAGTTTATTTGACGTTTCTATGATTTTTTATATTTTATCATAAAAATTAAAAATATAATTATTTAATAATAAGGTAATTTGAAAATCAAAATTTGAATATGTTTCCACAATAAATTTATTGTTGCTATAATATTATTAACATTATTTAAAATTTTATTTATTATTAAATATATTAATTATTCTGTAATATATTACATAAAAGTATGTTTTTGTAAATAAAATATTTTGTCAGTTCTGTGTATATTTTTGTCGAGAGAGAGAGAGAGAGAGAGAGAGAGAGAGA